GTTTAGCCCCAGTAATCCCACCCCACACTGACACCCCCATGGACACCCCAAATCCCTCGAGGTGGGGTTTGTCTCATGCTGCTTCTGCTGAGAAATGGGGCGACAACAACACGAGCCCAGCGGGAGAAAGGAGCGCCATGACAAAGCACATGCAGATAATCCGCCGTTATCCACAGCAAAGATGGGCCTTAGGTCAAGGATTATTTTTTTTTTCCACATAAATTGATTTTTTTTAATCTTGGTTTCCAGCTCGTCCACACACAGGTGGGCTCCACACCCCCCTGGCATCACAAATCTCAGAGGTTGGATCCCCAAACCACCCCAAATCCTTGTGGGAAGCCACGACCTAAGGGCATCTTTCCACCTGGAGCAAACCAAACGTGCAAGTGCAGCCTGGTCCCAACAGATTTTTTTTTTCCCTCCCCCTTTTCCAAACTCAGGCTGGGAGGAAGCAACGAGTGACCTCAAATTGTGGTTGTAGTCAGCAAAGTCACCCCCAGTCCACGAGACCCTTTGTGGGGAGTGCAAAATGGGGCCTCTGGAGCTGAAACGCAGCAGGTGCTGCTCCATAAAGGATTTTGTGCTCTCCAAAATTCACAGATTCGGGTCAGAAATTGGCATAAAAATTTCCCAGAAGAGACACGGTGGGATTAAAAGCCTCAGAGTGCTTTGTAAAGGTGGGGAAAGCCATAACGGGGAAGGCTGGGATCATTTAAGCACCAGGTTCCTCCCCAAAAGTGAGAGTAGCCAAAAAATAACATTTCCTGCACCAGAAACTGCAAATCCCACCAGCAAAACTGTGGGGGAACGGGGTGGAACGAGCCAATTCCATCAATGCCCATTATTTTTTTTTTTTTTTATCCACAGGGTGATTTCCTTTCTTGGGCCTCTCCAGCTCCTGGAACCATCAGGATTTGGGTCTGAGGTTCAAGCACAACGTCATGGGGCAGCACGCGCCTCTGCACATGCACCCACCCGCCCTGGGCATGCAGCGAGGGGCTTTTGGCTTCTCCTTGAGTTTTCCGCCAGATTTTGGCACTTCCAGAGGTGTCTGGGGGTGCCATTTGTGACCAGAATCCTTGGAAAAGGTCCAACCCCGTGGGCTGACCTCCTTTGAGACCCCCCGTGGGAGAGACCGCAGCTTTTTAAAAGCAAAAAATGAGATTTTTCTTCTGAAAATTCTGCTCTGGGCACCTGCGGGGAAGTGTGGATGGGGCAGGTTTTAATCTCAGGCGGAGGTCAGAGGGAGAGGGTTCATCCCAGAATTCCTGCAGAGCCCATTCCCAGGGGCTCGCCCAGCATGGAAAATTATCCTGGGCTGGGTTTGTCCCTCAAATTCACCACCTCTCCTGTGGGAAGGAGTTAAATTCCTAATCACCTTTAAAAATGAGCCAAATTCTGCTGGGATTTAACTTGAATTCTTAAATAACTTAAGGAACTAACCAAATTCTGATGGGATTTAATTTGAATTCTTAACTAACTTAAGGAATTAACCAAATTCTGATGGGATTTAACTTGAATTCTTAAATAACTTAAGGAACTAACCAAATGCTGCTGGGGTTTAATTTGAATTCTTAACTAACTTAAGGAATTAACCAAATTCTGATGGGATTTAACCCCTCTGGCTTCATGCTGGAGCTCAACCCTCCATCCCAATTCCCCGGTGGAGCCCAGCAGAGCAAATTTGGCAAATTGAGGGGCTCAGAGTGGCTTTTTTTGGTCTGAAATCTGTGGGTTTGTTAAGTGCAAACAGGCAGAGAGGACCTGGCTGAGCTGTCAGATCCCCGGCGTCAGTTAGAAAAATCGGCTTTGGGCTCTGCAGCTGAGCAGGCTGGATCTGGAAATCATCGAGAGAGAAGAAATTAAGGAGAAAAAAAAAAGAAAAAAAAAAGAAAAAAAAGGAAATCTAGAGTGTCTTTTCCTTTTTTTTTTTTCCCTTTTTTTTTCCTTTTTTTTTCCTTCCTTTTTGTCCCACTCTCTTTGGCTTTGCAAAGTACAACCACAATTTTGAGTCTTTGCTCTGGGTGCTAAGTGTGAAATCTCTTCTTTTTTACCTTTTTCACCTCTTCCCAGCTCGTCCTGCAGGTTTTCTGGAAGGAGAAAAGGCAGGGCCGTGAGTGGTGACACCCAGAGAGGCAGAAGGGGTGGCCCAGGTCTCTTTTAGGGCCACCAAAGCATCAGCAAGAGCTGAGGATGGAGCAGCACAACAGGGGAGAATCCTCTTCAAATATATTTAATTTTAAATATAATTATTTAATTTTATATTATATATATTTAATTTTCATGAAATATATTTAATTTTCATTTAAAACCCCCTTAAATATATTTAATTTTCATTAAAACCACATTCTTGGCATGAAATATATTTAAATATATTTATGTATTTATATATAAATAGATTTAATTTTCATTAAAATATATTTATTAAATATATATATATATATGTTAAATATATTTAATTTTCATTAAAAAAACCCTTCTTGGCATGAAGAAAACGCGGGATTTATTTAAACCACAGTGATCATGCCCTCTCCCCTCTTGGAATTTCAAGCCTTGAGCACCTCCTTTAAGCCAATTCTTTCCCCAGGGTGTAATTCCCATTTGGAATTTGGTTTTTTCTCTTCCAGAGCCGCTCTTTTTTTGGTGCATTTTGCCTTTCCAGCTCTCTCAGCGCCATCTCGTGGCTCCCTGCAAACCCAGGGCTTGGCTGTCTTGAAATTAAAGTTTTTATTGCTCCAAAGCTGATGCTCACAGGCCGATTTTCCCCCCTTAAAAAAAAAAAAAAAAAAAACCAAAAAACCACATTTCCTTCCCCAGAAACCCGCCTGGCTGAGCCTCTTCCTGCTCATCCCCACCTCCAGAATGAGATTTTCACAACTTTTTTCCAGATTTCTGCTCATTTTTGGTGCCCTGGAACCCTCCAGCAGCGTTCCCTCCCAATGCCAGGAAAAAACAGGGATTATTTGATAATTTTTTTTATTTTTTCCCAGCCTTTCCCACCCACCTCGGAATTTCTTCAGGACCTTCTCGAGGACCACGGTTTTGAGGGAGAAGTTGCAGACGTGCATCTTCATGTCGGTGCAGACGGGGACGGGCTTCTGGCACTTCACGTCGTCGCTCCTGCCGAGGGGAAAAAATAAAAAAATAAAATTAAAAAACGACGAGGAAATGGTTAAATCGCTGGCATTCCCCCATTTCCAGCTCCCTTTGCCCCCCCTGCTCCCGTCCCATCCCGCCCAGAGGATTCCGTCCTCCTTGGGGTGAGGAATTGGGGGTCTGGGCGTGGATTTTGAGGCTTCTCTGGGGTGATGGGGGGGATTTTTTGGGGGTGAAACCCCCTCCCCAGCTCCACCAGCCGCTGTTTCAGAGCTGACCCGCAGCGCTGGGGGAGCAAATCAGGGAATTCGGAATTTCTGGTCCCACCCGAGCCTGCAAGGAGCCCGCTGGTAGGGAAAGGGGCACTGGAAAATCAAATTTCCGAGGAGATGGAGAAGACCCGAGGCTGGCAGAGAGGGGGAAGGAAAATTCCACCCTCCCCAGGACCCCTGGACTGGGCAGCGGGGAGAGCAGAATTCCCTACCTGGTGATGACGCCCGCCACGTCCTGGAAGGGAAAAAGAGAGACTGTGACCCTCCCAGAGCAATTCCTGCTCCTCAAACCCCCCGGGATGTCCATCCCTGGGTGTCAGATTTCTTTTTCTTGGGCCAGGTCTTATGAAAAAATCAAAAGGGAGCCCAACACACCCAAGAATAGCTCAGCTATTTCCTCTTGGGGGCAAACAACAGGCAGGACGGCTTCTGCTGAGGTGTTAGAAACAAAAAAAAAGGTTCAATAAAAGGCAAAATAACAAACAGAAAAACTCGAGCCAGGTGCAGAGGTCTGCCCCTGGTATAAACATCTTGCAAAAGCAGCTCAGTTCTTTTCGTTCTTTGAAATTAAAGTTTGAAATTTCTTTGAAATTTTAATTTCTTTGAAATTAAAGTGACCTGATGGGCCAAGCGGGGCTTTTGGGCTTCTGCCCAATTAGATGACCTCGAGTTTTTGGTGAAGTCTCTGAGGTGGCTTTGAGAGAAACTTCTGGGCTTCTTTCTTTTTTTGGGGGGAAAAAGCTAGTTTTGCCACTGTGACATTTCCCTGGATTCCTGCATCTAACACCCCCAGGAAAATCCTGGAGCGCCTGAGGTGGACAGGGAAGTGATTTTCCCCCAGGCAGGGGTGGATTGTGGAGGTAATTCAAGGTTCAAACACACTCAATAAAGTTGCCACACACTCAATAAAATTGCAACACCAACAGCAGAGCCCAGCCACTGTTTGCCTGTTCTGCCCTCCAAAAACATTCCAGAGCCCACACAAAGGCAGGGTCACCTCCCAGGGGCTGGAAAAGGGACCCTGGAGCCAGCCCAGCCTTCCCAAACCTGCTTTTTTAATAAAACACCAATTGTTGTTCTGGGTTTTTTACGTGGGCACCAGCACGGAGAGCACGCGGGGTGAATTCCCACCCACGTCTGCAAATATTGACAGTGCCCAGAGGGAATTTAACCCCGGGCAGGTCTGGGGGAGCCAGCAGCACGATCTGAATCCAATAAAAACCAGCTCCATTCAGGGGTCACCGCGTGGGGTGGGGGAAGGAGCTGTGGAAAAGGATTTTGGGCAGCCCTGGGGTGGGGAAAGGAGCTGTGGAAAAGGATTTTGGGCAGCCCTGGGGTGGGGAAAGGAGCTGTGGAAAAGGATTTTGGGTTGTTTTCCCAGCCTCAAAAAGCAGAGTTTGGTCTCGCTCAGCTCTGAACACCTTGAAACCCAGAGCTTGGGGTGTGCTGGAAAAATCCAGAGAAATTCATGGAGGGAAAAAAAAAATCATTAAAATTGAAAAGAACATTCTGTCACCGGATATTCCTCGGCCAGAGAGAGCTTGGGGCGCTCAGACACCTCCTTGCACCCTCCACTCATTAAAGGCAGAACAAAAAAGGGCTTTTCTCCCCAAAACACCTCCACAGGATCCAGGAACACTTGGGAAAAAGGAGGAATAGGGTCGTGGCTGGGAGCTGACACCCCACCTTGAGGAACTCCAGCATGGGCTGCTGGATTTTCTCCTCCAGCTCGGCGATGAGCTTGTTGAGGAGCGTGATCTCCTTGGAGAGGTCGGTGATGTTCTCGTTCTGCCTCCTGGAGATGTTCTTCTCCATCTTGTCCAGCTGCCCCAGCAGGATGTGCTCCTGGTCGTGCAGGAACTGCCGCAGCCGCTCGAAGTCCGACAGCAGCTTCTGCCGCTCGCTCTCGATGGTTTTCTGGGGCAGAAACACGGGAAAAAGGGGTTTTGGGGGAGACAGGCCTGGGGTGACTCCACAGCTCCAGCCTGGGGGGTTTCCTTTGGAGGAATCACAGAATTCCCAGACAAAAACCTTGGGAAGCAGCGGGGTGGGAGAGGAATCCCCACCAGGATCCCCCAAAACCACTTTTTTTGGGGAGGAATGGTCTGGGAAAGGAATTATTTTCAGTGTGCCAGGTTTTTTTTTTATTATTATTTGCTGCCACAGGGGATGGTGTGCTGAGGAAAAGGAAGGGTGGAGCAGAGCCCCGGAGCCTGCCTGGCTCCCAGATGCTCCAGCACCATCCTGAGGCTCTCGATGATGGTGGTGGGGCCGGGAGGAAGGAGAAAAACCTCCCATTCCCATTTTTCGGGATCCTCACCCCACCCCAGCACGCACCAGCAGCTCCTGCGTTTTCTTGTCGTCGTTCACTTTGAACTCCAGCAGTTCCTGCCGCTCCTTCCGCAGGAAATCCAAGCGCCCCTGGATCTTCTCCTGCGGACAAAAGGAGAGTTTGATTTGCCTCCTCCTGCCCGCAGGGTTTGCCCTTTGTGGGGTGGGATGAAAACACGGGATGCGCTCGCCGGGAAATCCCTCTGGCTCCGCCGCTTCCCGAGAATCACCAGAGATCCCAAAAAAAACAGGAACGGAGGGAGCGGGGACGGGGCGAGCCCTGCTCCCATCGGCTCCCGGCGCAGGAAAAGGTCAGCCCGGCTTTAATTAACCTCGCTCGTTCCTGGACGCTCTCCCAGCCCTCGGCCGCTCCCCTCCCGGCGAGGCGAATCCTTCCCAAAAACCAGAGAAACCCAGGAGAGGGAAGGAGGGCAGCTCTCCCCGCTTTTTTTATCTCCTTTTTCTCCTCTTCCTCCTTTTTCTCCTTTTCCTCCTTTTCTCCTCTTCCTCCTTTTCCTCCTTTTTCTCCTTTTTCTCCTTTTTTTTTCATTTTCCTACTTTATCTCCTCTTTCTCCTCTTCCTCCTCTTCCTCCTTTTCCTCCTCTTTCTCCTTTTCCTCCTTTTCCTCCTTTTTCTCATTTTTCTCTTTTTTTTCTTTTTATCCTCTTTCTCCTTTTCATTCTTTTTCTCCTTTTTCTCTTCTTTCCCTTCTTTATCCTTTTTCTCCTTTTCTTTCTTTTTATCCTCTTTCTCCTCTTTCTCCTCTTTCTCCTTTTCTCCTTTTTCTCTTTTTTCTTTCTTTTTATGCTCTTTCTCCTTTTCCTCCTTTTCCTCCTTTTCCTCCTCTTTCTCCTTTTCCTCCTTATTCTCCTTTTTCTCCTTTTTTTTTCCTTTTTATCCTCTTCCTCCTTTTCCTCCTCTTTTTTATGCTCTTTCTCCTTTTCCTCCTTTTCCTCCTTCTCCTTTTTCTCCTTTTTCTCCTCTTTCTCCTCTTCCTCCTTTTTCTCCTCTTTCTCCTTTTTCCTCTTTCTCCTCTTCCTCCTTTTTCTCTCCTTTTCCTCCTCTTTCTCCTCTTTCCCCTTTTTCTCCTTTTTCTCCTTTTTCTCCTCTTTCTCCTCTTCCTCCTTTTTCTCCTCTTTCTCCTTTTTCTCCTTTTCCTCTTTCTCTTTTGTCTCCTTTTCCCCCTTTTCCCCCTTTTTTCTCCCACATCGGATACATCCCCCAAGCTCCCCACATCTCCCCCGCACCTCGCACCTCCCCGAATAACACAACTCATCCCGCAAAAACAGAGCCGGGAAGCGCCCGAACGGGGGGAGAAAAACCCGACAGACGGACGGACAGACGGACCTTGTACTCCTCGCACGCCTCGTCCACGGGCACCACGGCGTGCGGGCGGTGCTCGCGGGAGCGGTCGCACACCACGCAGATGCTCCTGCGGTCGTCCTTGCAGTAGAGCTTGAGCGCCTCGCGGTGCTTGGGGCACAGCCCGTCCCCGTCCGTCCGTCCGTCCGCCCGCAGCAGCAGCTGCCCGATGATCTCGGACATGTTGGCCAGCTGCCGGTTCGGCCGAAAGCTTTTCTGCTGGAACACCTCGCGGCACTGCGGGCAGGGGAAGTCGGCCTCCAGCTCCTTCCAGCTGCCGGCGATGCACGCCCGGCAGAAGTTGTGGCCGCACTCGATGGACACCGGGTCCTTGAAGAGCTCCAGGCACACGGAGCAGGTGGCCTCGTCCTGCAGGCAGCCGGGCAGCAGCGCCGCGGCCATGGCCGCGCTGCGGCCGGAGGGACGGCGGTGGGTGGGTGGAGGGTGGAAGGGTTTTTGGCTGGGCTGGAAGGGTTTTTGGAGGGTGGGGAGGGTTTTTGGAGGCGTGGAAGGGTTTTTGCTTGGCTGGGCTGGAAGGGCAGTGCCCGGCGGGGGCGGTGCTCGGCCCGCAGCGCGGCCCCGCGGTCGCTCCCCCGGTGTCCGGTTTCTGCAGCCCGGGACGGGGCCGGGGCACCGGGGCGTGCAGGAGGGCAGGGGCGCTGTTCACAAATCCCGAGCTTCCTGGCTATTTTTTTTTAATTTTTTAATTTTAATTTTAATTTTTATTTTTATTTCTATTTTTATTTCTATTTTTATTTCTATTTTATTTTAAATTTTTTAAATTTATTTTATTTTTTTTTTTTAACTTTTATTATATTTTTTAATTTATTACTTATTTTTTATTTTATTTTTATTTCAATTTTATTTTTTAAATTTTTTTGTTTGTTTTTATTTTTATATTTTTTGGGTTTTTTTATTTTCTTTTTCGAAATTCATTTATTCATTTATTTAGTTAGTTAGTTTTAGTTTGAGTTTAATTTTAATTTTTCCACCTTTCAGCAGGGACTTGGGAAGAGAAAAATCTTTTGGGGCACGGGGGACACGCAGAGATGCTGCCCTCTGCTGCTCACAAATCCTGAACTTCCTGGCTGGGTTTATTTTTTTTTTAATTTTTATTTTTATTTTATGTTTTTATTTTTATTTTTATTTTTAATGTTTTTATTTTTATTTTTATTGTTTAATTATTTTTTATTTTTATTTTTTGTTTTTATGTTTAATTTTTTTAAATTCCCATTAAATGGGAATGATAAAATAAATATAATTTTTCCCATTAAATGGGAACAATAAGTACGATAAATATTACTTTTCTCATTAAATGGGAACCATAAAATAAATATTTTTTCCCATTAAATGGGAATGATAATTCTAATAAATATAATTTTCCCATTAACTGGGGATGATAATTTAAATATATTTTTTCCCATTAACTGGCCATGATAATTCCAATAAATATAATTTTCCCATGAAATGACAATGATAGTTACAATAAATATAATTTTCCCATTAACTGGGAATGATAATTTAAATATAATTTTTCCCATTAACTGGCCATGACAATTCCAATAAATATAATATAAATATATTTTTTCCCATTAACTGGCCATGACAATTCCAATAAATATAATATAAATATAATTTTTCCCATTAACTGGCCATGACAATTCCAATAAATATAATATAAATATATTTTTTCCCATTAACTGGCCATGACAATTCCAATAAATATAATATAAATATATTTTTTCCCATTAACTGGCCATGACAATTCCAATAAATATAATATAAATATATTTTTTCCCATTAACTGGCCATGACAATTCCAATAAATGTAATTTCTCCCGGTCGGATTTGCCCATGCCCTGGCGGTTCCCCCGGCTTTGCCAGGGCAGCGGGGCCAGGAGGGCGCGAGGGTCACGGGGGGCTCGGGTTACCAGGGCTGGAATTTGGGATCCCCCGGATCCGTTTGTCTTCCCCTAACGAGGGGCTGAAATCAGCGGGAGCCACCCAGGAATTCTGGTTTAAAGCCCAAAACCTCTGGGGCACATCTGGAATTGTGGGGGGGGACAAATCCCAGCGCCCGAGGCTCGGCGGGAGGGATTAACGAGCAAAGCCAGGCCTAGGGGTGTTACACCTCAAAAATCAGGGTTTGGCTGCCCCTTCTCGTGAGTTTATATATGTATTTAATTATATAAATATGCGTATATTTATATATATTTATAGATATAAATATATATTTTATTTATATATTTTATATACCAACTTTATACATTTATATTTTATATAGTTTTATATATTTTATATAATATTTTTATATTTTATATACACATTTTATACATTTATATTTTTATATAAATATATTTTATATATTTTATATATTTATATAATATTTTATATTTAAAACTATTATAATTTATATATTTATGTAATAATTTATATGACCTATTTCTGCTGAACCAGCCTAATAAAACAGCAGAACCCCCCTAAAATCGCAGGGGACAGCGCTCCCATCGCCCCCAGACCCAGACCCAAACCCCAGACCAAGACCCCAGACGAGCTCGCGAGGGAGCGCCGCTGGCGGGGGCCAGCTGCGCGGCCAGCCGCGCGGCCGCGGGGTCCCAGCGGGACGGGGTCCGGCGGAGGAGCCCCGCGGCGGCCGCGGCGGCCTCGGACATCGCGGGTCCCTCCGTGCCCCGTGTCCCCGCCCGTGTCACCCGCCAGCCCTCCCCCATCTGGGCACGCGGAGAGGGCTTCTCCTCTTCCTCCTCCTCCTCCTCCTCCTCCTCTGCTCTCCCTCCCCTCCGTGCCAAAATTTTTTTTTTTTTTTTTTTTGGGGATCGCGTTTCCAGCACCTCCCTCCACCTGTCCCTTCTCCGCGGGGTCTCGGCAGCCTTTAACCCTTTCCGGGAGTTTCGTCCCTGTCCCCAAAGGGTGGGAATTTGTTAATGCCGGTGGTCATATTTGGAGCGTCTCCTGTGGGGCATGTCCCACCTGCCTGGACAGGTAAGGAGAGTTTGGGAAGGCCAAACCCACAGGGAGAGGGGGGGAAATAAAAGGGAAAAAGGAAAAATAAAAAGGAAAAAGGAAAAATAAAAAAGGAAAAATAAAAAAGGGAGAAAAGGAAAAATAAAAAATAAAAAAAAAGAAAAAAGGAAAAATGGAAAAATAGAAAAGAAAAAAAGGAAAAATAAAAAAAGGAAAAAGGAAAAAGAAAGGAAAAAAGGAAAAATAAAAAAAAAGGAAAAAGGAAAAATAAAAAAAAAAGGAAAAAGGAAAAATAAAGGAAAAAAGGAAAAATAAAAAAGGGAAACAAGGAAAAATAAAAAAGGGAAAAAGGAAAAATTTTAAAAAAAGGAAAAAAGGGAAAAAAGAAAAAATAAAAAGGAAAAATAAAAAAGGGAAAAAGGAAAAATAAAAAAGGAAAAAAAGGAAAAAAGGAAAAAGGAAAAAATAAAAATAAAAAAGGAAAAAAGGGGAAAAAGGAAAAAGGAAAAATGAAAAAAGGAAAAATGGAAAAATAGAAAAGAAAAAAAGGAAAAATAAAAAAAGGAAAAAGGAAAAATAAAGGAAAAAAGGAAAAATAAAAAAGGGAAACAAGGAAAAATAAAAAAGGGAAAAAGGAAAAATTTTAAAAAAAGGAAAAAAGGGAAAAAAGAAAAAATAAAAAGGAAAAATAAAAAAGGGAAAAGGGAAAAATAAAAAAGGAAAAAAGGAAAAAGGAAAAAAATAAAAATAAAAAGGAAAAAAGAAAAAAGGAAAAATAAAAAAGGAAAGAAGGAAAAATAAAAAAGGAAAAGGCAACGTGAGTCCCTGCCAAGTAAACACCTGTTGCCCGTGAATTTATAGATTGATTAATGCCCGCTGGACACACACATCCTCTATTTCCCCGGGCTCCCAGCAGCTCCCTGTTGCTCCTCTCCCAAAATTCCCAACCCTACCCTGGGGGAAAAGGGGGAAAACCCGGGATGGGATCGGGAGGACGCTCCTTGTCCCGTCCTTGGGCTCTGGGCGCCGGGATCGTGTTCGGGGCAGGAATGCTGAGCCCGGAGAGCCGGGAAGAGCAGCCAGGGACGCCAGCCAGAGCCTGAGGGTTTATTTTAGAGCCGAGACTGAACCGGGAGCGCCCGGCATTCCTGCGGGGAGCTCAGTCCGCGGGCTGCTCGCCCCACTCCGCGTTGCACAGGTCGGTCTCGCAGCAGGAGTAGCGGGAGTTCAGCCGGGACTCGGCGTCCGACGCCCGCTCCCGGCCGCAGTTCAGGGCCGAGGTGCAGCCCTGCTGGTAGTAAATGGTCATCTTACCTGCGGGGGAGAGGAAAACGCCGGAAAAAATCAGATTTTGGGCCTTTGGGGAGAAGCCGAGCTCTGAAGTATAACCCCTCAAATCAAATCACATCTTGGTTTAACTAAGAGAAAAATAAAATCGGGTGATGCACGCATCGAGACAACCCCTGTCCCCCCAGGTTATTTGGAGAGTCTCCCCTTGGCTTAAAAACCAATTTTTGAAACTTTTTTGGGGCAAACTCCATGGCGAGGATGAACTCCACCATCTGGTGCTCCACCTCCTCATCCTCACTCACCCACGGGAGCGTTTGGTTTTCTTGGGATGGGGAGAATTTCCCTGCGGGGGAGGAGAGGATGGGAAAAGCCAAGGAGAGCCTTGAAAGGAGGGAAGGAGAGGATGGGAAAGCCAAGGAGAGCCCAAAAAGAGGGAAGGAGAAGATGGGAAAGCCAAGGAGAGCCCAAAAAAAGGGAAAGAGAGGATGGGAAAACCAAAGAGAGCCCGAAAGCAGGGAAGGAAAAGTGGGAATGCCAAGGAGAGCCTTGAAGGGAGGGAAGGAGAGGATGGAGAAAGACAAGGAGAGCCCAAAAGGAGGGAAGGAAAGATGGGAATGCCAAGGACAGGCTGAAAGGAGGGAAGGAAAGGATGGGAAAAGCCAAGGACAGCCCTGGAAGGAGGAAAGAAGGGGATGGGAATGCCAAGGAGAGCCCGAAAGGAGGGAAGGAGAGGTGGGAATGCCAAGGAGGGACCCACCCAGGCTGCTCCTGATGAGGGCACACTTCTCGCGGCGCTCGCAGGTCGTCACGTTGGCGCCCAGCAGGCAGCCGAGCGCGGGCACCTTGTACTTGCAGAGGTGGCACCGGAGCGCCTGGGCTGCGGCAGACGGGAAAAACCGGGATGAGCTCTGGGAAGAGGCGGGCAGAATCCCGCTCCCAGGGGGCTCAGTGGGATTTGTTTCCCCATCTCACCCGCTCCGATGCACAGGGCGAGGCTCAGCCCCAGCAGGAGCAGCTTCATGGTGGGGCGGGTCCCGGCGTCCATCCGCTGCCTGGAACGGGAAGGGCTCGGGAATGCTGGTCTGGGATGGGAATGGCTCGGGAATGCTGCTCCGGGATGGGTTCTGCTCCCTGGAATGAGAACAGGTCAGGAATTCTGCTCCGGG